AGTTTGCTTTTAGAAGGAAGTGATTGTCGTGAGGTGTCGGAGGTCAAAGGTGATGCGGGGTTATCACGAGGTGACATCGTGGCCCGATCCCTGTCCTCACCTCTCAGGAGGCAGCTGGTTATGTGTTGCCTCCTGTCAACACAAGATTTGTATCCCCGCACACTCGCGCCTCCCCGCTCCTCGCAGCCGAACTCGCATTGAAGTAAAAGTAAATTAAGGTTATAGCATTTTTTTTTTTTTTTTAATCATTCTCAGGGAGAAATGTGGTTTAGGTCGTGATTGAGTTTGAGATCGTAAAATAGATCTTTCTATTCCTGGCTGTGTTTTTTCCCGCCGCGTAGCTTCATGAAGGAATTCTGTAAGGGCGTTTTAAAAAGAATTCTGTGAAGATAACTTTCTCTGTGTTTAAAAGAGGCAAAAAAAGGAGAAGGTGCCCTTGAACTGGAAAGCAACTGAAGTTCCACATGAGGTTTGCGCATTGAGGAGTGGTGCGCGAGGATTTGATGTCTCCTTTTGAAGTGTCTTTATGTGCAAAGTCTGTGCTCTGACTCTGTGAATCGAGCTAAGCCCGTCTTAAGCAGAGGCCTCCACTGTCTGCGCTCCTCTTCCCTTTTCTCCTCCGTTCACTCGAGGGACGACTCCCTCGCTTTTTCATTTCACTGCCGTGCGTTGTTGTCGTAGCATACTAATAGTTTACAGCACCTGCTCCGCTGCCAGCACGACTCTTTCTATTAAAGTGAATTACGATTGAGGAAGACGACGACAGAGAGCCGGGCCGACTCACAGCAACTGTTCATATCTCATTGCTGATTGTTGACAATAATCCAATCTATGGAACTGATTATTGTTTATTCATGTATTTGACGTATTATTGGTTATGACTTGTGAGTTTATCTCTTTTTCAAGTGGTTGTTGTTGTGTCTGCAGAAATGAATGATTGATTAGTTGATTGTCAGGAGATTAAAAGACTGAAATATTTTAGAATTGATCAATCATAGCACTTTTATAGTTCCAGCTTCTCGATGCAAATTTAAGACATCACCCTGGGAACTTGGGATGGCTCTTACATGATTTATTGTTTATATGAAAACACAAGTTCACATAAAAGTTATATATTTTGGACTTTATTATCTGTATATTTGCTATATTTGTAATGTTTTCAGCTTTATTTCATTTTAATTTTAGTATTGTTTTATCCTATTGCGAAGCAAATAGTAGCTAATTGTAGTATTGGAGGTATTGAGCATTTCTGATTTACAACATAGAAATGTTTTTGTTATACAGAAATGAGCAGCTATATCTTGCTATCGTCTCATAATAGTAAAAGAAAACAAGTTGTTATTTCAGCAACAAACTTCTTCAATATATTAGCGGAGTTCACTACATTTGTGTGTGAAACATAAAATATTAAAATAATGTATAGTTTATCTTTCACCAGTGGCCATTCATTAAAATGTCAACAAACCTCGGCTCTGCAGGACCCGACTCTCCTCTGAGGAAATATTAATTCATCGTCCGTACATGTTTGAATATTTCATCAATGTGTCGGTATCCAGCGGGTGGCACGGGACATATAATCACATACATCAGTTCTGTGCAGAATCTGACACCCACGAGCAGAAAGAGACCCACACTGTACTGGATGTACAATGTCCTCCACAACATGTTGCGTCACACCTGCAACACTTCACTGTAATTCAGATGAAGCATTACAGGAGCTGGTGTTGTACATTGTTCTGCGGGGAATCTTTTGTCCTACATTTCCAGTCCTTGATGTTAAATATCCCTCGTTTGTTCCTTTCCCTCAAGTGTGTAAGAGTTTTGAAGGGAAGTCTCCTCCACAGACAAAGACAATAAGTAAGGAAGAGGATTGTCGAGGGGTTTCCCAAGAAGATGCGTCTGTACACACAGCTGACGTGCCACCCTGCCCAGGGTCACATGCATGTGTTGAAGTGGAGGGCATATGTATTCTATTTCCAGAACCAGCCCTGAGCCACTTTAATCCCCGCGCCTTGCCTCCATCGCCACGGTCAAAAGAGAAAGAAAGACCCCCTCGGCCCGCCCACCCCACCGCGGGGAGCGATGTCTCTGAGATTGTGTTGCAGGTTTAACTGAAAATAGATTGTGAGAAGAAGAGACTTTTCTGTCAGGCAGACAGAGGGTTTGATAGAGAGAATCTCAGGCGAGGAGACAGCTCTGTTAGCGCTGCGCTACAGGGGAAAAGACTAGACTCAGGCGTTTAACTGAGGTAAGGCCTTGTGTTGTGTACATGTGCGTGTATGTGGGCGTGTGGGCGAACACACCGAGATGTGGGTGTGTGCACATGCTGCCACAGCTGGTTCCAAACAGATGATGCAGCTTTCTTGGTCCCTTTGTGTCACTGAGACGCTTTTCTTAAAAAATCTGCTTATTCCCGGGGAAAAAAGGCTTTTTTCCAGCACCGAGCGATATTTTACCGACAAAAAACTGACAATAATAAACATTCTTATTCGCCTGTGTGTCTGCTGTGAATTTAAATATTGCAAATTATACATTTTTGACAGTTTAAACGCAGCAATATAAACTAGGCTCCATCAATATTCTGCAGATTTCCTTCATTAATAATGAAATGATGTGTAAAATACCACAAGAAAGGCTCTTCAGCATAATAACCCAAGAATAATCTCATCATTCTTTTTTTTTCCGGAAGCTTAAGAGACGTGTGTACGTTGCATTCAGTGTGTATTGTGTAATCAGGGTGTGAAGAGCAGGCCAGGGGTTGGTGTCAGTGTGTGAATTGGAAATTTTCATGTCACGGACAGCTTTCACCTTTTCAACCCACAGTGCCCATCAGTGGATTCATCATTCAAATGCAGACAAACATTCAAAACACAAGTTGCCATGACAACAACACAAACATGAAGCTGAATTCTGTGAGTCTGTGTGTAAAATGATGCAGGAGTCAGTTTCTATTTGATGACACTCGATGGAAGCGTGACATGTCGTAGCTGCGAGCGAAAGTGAACCTGGTATTACTGACGTTTTTTCTAATTTTGAAGTTTTTATGAGGAATCAAACGTTACACGACGAGATGCCAAAGGTGAAATGAAGTGCCAGGAGGCACAGCAGCTCAATGTGCACACTTCATAATATCTACTGTATGTCAGACGCATGTGATATTCTGTGTCTGTGTAATCCTCAGTATTGGAGAGGTAGTATACAGTATAGTATACTTTGATTTTATTATGCTGCATTTTGGATAATCAGGGAAAATTTCAGGTTCGGGTCCAAAAAAAGCCGAATATCTGTCGGGTTCTGCAAAGTTTCTCTCGGGTTCCGTGTGCCAAATCAGTTATCGGACCTTTACGCTTTAATAACAGATAGTTGACTTTGTTCTGGCGTCTCTGGGTTGTCTCAGAAAACTTCCCTACGTTGGTTTTGACTTTCCTGAACTGATGCATTTGATTATTGGTGCATGCACATTAATCAATGCAGCAGTTATGCAGGTGCAGGTGTGTATTGATCACACCAGAGGGAAATGAGGAAAGAAACTATCTGTAGTTTCTGGTTTTTATTAATTTCAATTATTTCAAAAATTGGGGAAAAAATACATGTCAAGGTTTCACAGAGGAGAGACTTTGTTTTGATTAATGATCAATTAGGTTTCCATCAATTAACCGATGGATTAAAGATTAAACGTTGCAGGAACACTCCATTATACAGGCAATTATGAAATAATCAATAGTTTGAGACCCAGAATGAATGAGGGACTCTTCTCTCTCTATGCTTACATACGGATGTGCTCCATTTTTTGGGGGTTATTCTGTATGTGGTGTTTTTGGGAGGACATTGTTACCAGTGGTGTGTACAACTCCATGTTTTCCATTGAATACACTCACCGTATTATGGCAAACCAGAGCCGAGCATGACACTCTATGTTTGTCTCATCATTAAAAGAACAAAATGTCTTGACCGATCCCTGCAGACGGAGACAGACCTCCTCTGTTATGGAATAAGCTAAATTTAGAGCCAAAACGTGTTTGTGCTGTCTGACGTCTCGTGTGCAGCAACTTAATGAAAACACGTCTGGCTATACGAGTCCATGCGGCTGCCGTTCCAGCTCTTTACGCTCTGTTGTGGGTGAAACACTTTTCCGTCTCGTTCTTCTTTTCCTCCTCCGGTCTAATGTGACGTTCTCCTTGCCCCAGTCAGGCAGGGTTGTGCTTTTTGTTTTTTTGCTAAGATGATGCTAACGGTTAGTTAGCTTCTGTGCCTTCTAGTACACTTAGTGTTTTAGGATAATTTATATCCTGCCCCCTCCATCGTTAATGTCCTCTGGAAACAGCATGTAGCTAGTTAGAATAATTAGTCTCCCCTTGCTCTCTGCTTTTATCAAAAAGTTAGTGGAGGTCACGTTGAGATGAATTTTATCTCTTTTCAGAGAGGCAGGAAGAAGCAATTGAAGCAAGACTCAAGGCTGCAGTTGCACTGCTGCTAAAACAAATGCTGTATCTTCATTCCGCTGTACTGTTAAATTTTGCAGTGGAGTTGTGCTGGAGCTGAACATTTGGCAGCCAGCGGGGCTTGTTGAGAGCATGAATAAAAGAGTTCCTGGGGTGGAGTGGTGCAGGATCCTGCTGCGCCAGATTTAGATCTGAAACAGAGGGGGAGCAGGAGGGAGGAGAGCGAGACAGAGGGAGCAATGAAAGAGGGCAAAAAAGAGCTGCTGCTAGGACTGCTGACCATGTGTATCCAGTATCACAAGTCATAATATCCGTCTCACTTGCTGCTTTTAACTAAATCTTCAGGACAAACTGTGTGAAACAACTCTACTCTGATCCCAAACCTTCTCCCCCCTTTGCAGTTCTGGCCCTCGTTCAAAACTCAATGTCATCAGCTAACTATGACGCATCAGATAAAGCTGCATGTGTCCGACCCGTGTATGATGTCGCCTGTGTGGCGTTCAGGGGAGCCGCTTTGTGACCTGTGGCTGTGTGTGTTTGTGTGTGTTGATGTTCCAGCTGAACTCGCCGATGCACTCGATCAGCAGCACGGAGGACATCAAGCCGCCGCTCGGTCTCAACGGTGTGATGAAGGTGCCCGCTCAGCCCTCCAGCACGGCCCTGTCGCTCACCAAACACATCTGCGCCATCTGTGGTGACCGCTCCTCAGGTGAGTGACATCAGCCCTGGATGAACACACCCACTGCATGACCACGTGCTGTACACAGAGGAACTATTGTTATAAACACATTCTTTATCTTAAAATGATTGAATTGTTGCCAAACTCTAACCAGAAGGTCCAGGGAACCTTTTGTATAATTCAAGGGGAGAAGTATGTGAAGCATCTTTTCTGGATAATTACAAATTAAATCAAGTTTCGTCAGGACCTTACAATATCATAAATTACCTTGAGATAATATAAGTTGTGATTTGATGCTGTACAAATAACATCGAATTGAATGTGGTATAAAAATAAATTCCCCGCAGCTGGGATTACACAAGACTCTGTCATCGCCTGTTGAAAAGAAAACGGGACTGTCCAGAGAATTACTAAATCTAGTGTCTCTGACCACACGGAGGAACCTCCAAAGAAGATCCAAAGATGGACTCTGGTCAGGGGACAGCCCCGAGGACCGCTCTGGCAGAAACTACATACTGCAGCTACACGCAGGGGGACGTCTTCCTGGAAGGACAACAGTCGGCGGAGTGCTTCACAGTTCCGGGCTGAATGGCAGGAAGATGAGACAGGAGCCGCTCCTGACAAAATGAATATTTGCACAGCAGCGCAAGGGCACACGAAAAAATCTGAAATCATGAGGCAAAATATTGTAGAGTCTGATGAAACCAAACCTCAATTCAACTTCGACTGAAATAGAGAAGCACTGTGTCTGAGGGAGGAACCGGGCCCAGTGCATCACTCAGCTCATCGCACCCCGACTGTGAAAAACATGGTCACACCAGCACCACTGTGGTGCGGATTTTTTTTCATTCTTGCAGCTAGAGCGCCTCGGAGCGAATGAAGACTGAAGGCAGATTTTTGGAATCAAACTGTGGTTACACTGCAACAGTGTTAGTGTGATAGTTGCCCCTGGTGATCCTGCAGACAGGGAAACAAAGATGCGTTGAGGATTTATCTTGATACCTGATAACGTGGTAATATCCCTTTTTAGCTCCTTTTTCCTGCAAACCCCAGATAATGCCTGAGTGAGCCCATGTGAGAATACAGCAGGATATCTGAGAATTCACCACAAGGGAACACACGACGTGCAAAGCTGGATGAAAAAGAGGTGTCATAGGTGCAGAGCTTTTGGCGATAAAGGCAGACGCCTGTGTCGATGAGCTCTAAACAAAGATTCCCGCCGCTGAATTCATACCTCATGTTTTGACTCCTGCTGCTCTACCCAGGCTCCACCTCTCACCTGAACGCCCTGAAGATTTGAAAGAAAAACTCCGGAAATTGTCCAGACCCAATCGAGCGGATATTTTTCAGGGTTTGCGTCTCAGAATGACTTGAGATGCTTTCTGAGTTAAAGCTTTACGTAGGGTGTAATCCATCAAAAAGTCGCAGAATAATCATCCATGCAATGTTGCGCAGAATCCCATTACATGACATACTGTCATTTTTGTTGATATCGCTGAACAGGTCTAAAGATGTCACTGTTTTTTATTCAAATCAAGATTCTCCTTTCCAGTTTCAAGGGAATTATACTGCACAAGTTCTCACTTGTTAGCTCTAACAAAAAATATCATTATTAGTGTTATCGTCTGGACCTTTTTTGACCTTTCACACAGCACATGCTCACTCCGGGGCTCTTTTAATCATGGATTATCATTTGGTAAAGAGCTAGCTAAACCACTGTAACCACAAAAAAATGTAACCCATGTCCTTGGCTGCTATTAGCCTAGAGCTAATGATAAACGGTCCTCTCTGCAGAATCGTCCGAATTCGCACAGCTAACAAATAGCTCTGTGTTTGAATGTTTTACGGAAATAACCATGAAGCGTTCTCTGCCCCGGGATGAAGCAGGATGTGTAATTCATTAGACATTTTCAGTGTCATCCTACGTCATTGGTCCTACGTCCAGCCACAGGGGGAAAATCAAAACAATCATTTTTAGCAGGTCATGCTTCATTCATCTGTGTTCAGAGACTTTATTTGTCAAAAGAGCCAACAAAGAGTCACTTCACGAGAGAAATGGACTTCATCCTTCACAGATGAAAAGAAAGAGCCGTCATCATGACATCATGGGCCACCCTGCAGCTTACCATCAGTAGACCCCTCTTTTCTTCGCAGCCACCTCAGCGTAACTTCAAATTCACATCGTGCTCTCTTTAACAGGTCTCTCTTCGTAATTGCTCTGTAGCTAGCTTATCTTAGAGGCTATTCCTGCATGCATGCTGCACTTACTTGGAATAGGGAGACCGGTGCCGCTCCTCAGCCCAAACAGCTGTTCTTGCTCTACCGTGAGAAGTCGTAAGATACTCAAGAGTGATGCTGAATTGTAGAACAGTTAAAAAGACTTATGAATCATTAAAAAGCAGCGTTCATCTCAAATATTCAGTGAGGAACTTTTTAAAATATGAAGAATTCTGCAGACAGGTTTTCCTCATTGTTACACGACTAACCATTGTCTCCATGTCTCCCCTCAGGTAAACACTATGGGGTTTACAGCTGCGAGGGCTGCAAAGGTTTTTTCAAAAGGACGGTGCGTAAAGATCTGACCTACACCTGCCGCGACAACAAGGACTGTGTCATCGACAAACGCCAGAGGAACCGCTGTCAGTACTGTCGCTACCAGAAGTGTTTAGCCATGGGCATGAAGAGAGAAGGTACAGCACATACCGTTGAGGATAAAGTCCGACTTACCCATTTCGTCAATGCTGTACTAATCCACATAGATGCACATTAAGATACAGATCAATTTAAAGCAGTATTGCAGTGGATGTGATGAATGTATTTTATATATGTCCTGCCAGAAACACACCTGAACCCCTGCATAATATTTGGTAATGGCATTGGAGTAGGAAGCGTATTGTCAGTGGGAGCAATTCACAGCCAGTTAAATCACGTAATCTCATTCCCTTTTTAAAGCTGTGCACTTTCCTTCATGTTATACTGACAAGAGTGTGCAGATTGACTCCACTTGGCAGCGTTCTGCAAACTAATCCAATCTGATCTGGTGAGTTCTTAAACTGCTGTGACTACGATGCTCTGTGCAGATGCCAGTACATTCACTGTCACTGCAAGTCCATAGAAAAGAGTACAAATCAGAATTTAAAGAAATATAGAGCTTCCTTTAGTTTGCAAACCAACCACTTTGCCTTTGCAGAGACATAAAATCAAATTTAGTTTGATTTAAACTCTGCAAGTGCTAAAGAGTTACTAAAGACGACCAGGGATATGACTTTGACATTAGTAAGTTTCTTTTTATTTGCCTCTAACGAGTAAATCAACTTGTTTCCTGCCTCTGTTAAATTTTACAGAAGCACTTGCAGCTGTGATACTGCTCTACATCATGCTGTGCATTGGAAGCCATAGCCAATTTTTCTTCTTCAAGCACTTCTTTTGGGGGGGGAAATAATGCATTCAGCTTTTGCAACCCCGGGGAACCCAGCATTAACTGGATGAGGAAGCAGAGTGAGGGTTTGTGAGAACAGGCCGTCCTGGGGGAGCTCGCTGATGTAGACTGGAGGAATAAAAACACAACAATGGAACTGTGCAAACTTCTGCTGAATGTCACCACTCATGCACTTAATGATGAGCAGGGGTTGTGCAGAGCAGTCCACCCAGTTATCCAGCACCGTCTTGTTTTCTCAAGCACAAAGTTTCTGTGCTTACTTTCTGTGAAACTCAAGACACAAAATTTGATCAAAGCACTCAAATGGGATAATGTCTTATAATTTCACAACCAAATGAACATGTGCACCGCATTCCTCAAATTACAGACTACGGATGGAATGTATACAACTCCTGTCTTTTTGAAATGGATACAGTGATTCAATCAGCCGCATGATGAAGCCACAGACAGAGAGTGTAGTTGTAGTTGGAGGACAAACTGCTAATCAAACCGTCCCTTTAAAATCATATATTTAGTCTTAGTGTACGTTTGTTAAATGGATTAAATGTGAATTGAAGGCGACGGCATCTCTTTCTAATTGTCTGTATGCCAGTTGTGCACCTCTCCTGGTAACAACAGCCAAAACATTAGCTTCTCTCATCTCCTCCTCTAGTTTGAGAAGTGAGCGCACATACCATCCAGATGTGGACAGAGAGGACTTCAACATCCAACAATCAAGAGTTTTTGCAAAATGATTCCCCTCCCTGTCGTCTCTCGGGACAGGACGTGGTTCAGTTTTAACCACCGTGTTTGTCATCCAGGCAGCAACTGCTGCTCATTTTAGCTCCCATACAATGACTCTACAGTTAAAGGCTGTTAAATGTGGTGTTTATAATGAATCCCAAATGTCACTATAAGCAGTCATGCATTTGCTCATTGATTCAGTCACTGATTGTAAACCGTTATTTCTTTGAATTGAGTCCATCAGATGCACTTATGAATTTAAATTCAAGGTCTTACTTCTCTGTTAAGGGATTTTGTCTTATACGTACTTGTGGTAAGTTGACCGAGCTCTTCTCCTGTGATTCGAGCTTTAGCAGGAATGGGTGTGGTTTGGGATCTGCCATTTTTACTACTTCTATGAATTCAGCAGGTGCAAGAGCAAATCTCAGACTTCCTTAAGACCAGAGTTGCACTGCTCCACTGGATCATGACTAACTGTTCCCTGAATACTAAGAAGGTAAAGTAATATTCAAAGAAATTGCACATGTAGACCGTATCTCCATTTATCTGGACGGAAGCAGCTGCAGCTTGTACTTAAAGACGTTTCCACGCAGACATTCTCTTTAAATGGATCGCTTGATTGACTGCATGCTCACAGAGAGATGGGCTCTTAATTACAGACGCTGTTGAGGTTGCACTTGTTTGATGCCGCACTTATCCATCTCCAGTCTTCTAGAGCGATGCTTAGTTGTAAATATTGGGTTTGCAAATACCCTCTGTACGTTCAAGGGAAGATTACCGAGGGGTTAAAGCCATCGAGGGTTTTGTTTTGTCAGGGGAAAAGAAAACAGTCAGTGAAGTGTGAATTTTAACACTCCATGGAGGTGTGAGAAATATTAGCACTCTCAGCAGGGCTGTTAAGCACTCCTTCGCACATTGAATAAATCAATCACTGCCTCTCGCCATTACGGTCAATCCAGCTACAGAAAGCAGATACATCGGTGCATAGATTATGGTACAGTGCAGCCAGCGGAGGTTACAGTTGTTAACCAGGTGTACATGTGCAGGTGTGTGTGTGTGGTAGACGTAACCTGAATGTTTAAAGTCGTGCGAACAAGAAAAATCTATGTTACTTGGACAAATGCATTTCGGAGGCAATTCTATCCGCGGCCCATTTATCTTGACCTTTACTTGGCCTCCCCTCCCGTCCGTCTTGCCTTTATTTATATCATTGTTGGGCTCTTTACTCCTTTCAAGGATATTATCATTTACTGCCTTTCGCCTCACTCACAGTGCTGCCTAAGCCTCCTCCTGCACCCCGAGGGCTGTGGTTAGAGAACAAGGCAGCAGTAGCCCAAAAGGCTAAGCGAATCCACAGAAAAACAGGATTAAATGAATTTATGCTCTCCCAGTCAGGAGAGGAAAGGAGGAGGGGGGAATAAAGCTAACATAATTTCAGCCCTCCTCACCTCTCCCTGACTCCAACACAAGTATTCTACCCTTGGGCTGACCTCCACCACCAGACAGCAGTTCCTCTAAAGTGGGGCCCCTTTCCCTTTCCTCGTCTAACAACCCCCCCCCCCCCAACATGACCACTCTGATTCAGGACTTGGCAA